ACTAAAAAAAAAAAATATATATATATATATATATATATATCTATTGTGTGTGTTGAAATTTATGTATTGGTTTTACAGTGGCTTTAAAAATTTGTTTTTTTTTTCGCCTCAGAATTTTTTGCCAATTAGATTTAATACATTTGCAACTAAAGCACATTAAATATCTAGTTAAAAATACTGAAGATTTTTTATGCTGTTTTACAGTAAGTCAACAGGAAAAATATTCAATTACTTTTATATGCATCTATATTAGGGCTGTGCGATATGGAAAAAAAAAACCTATCGCGATTTCTTTGATCAATTTTGCGATTTCGCACACAGACATGCTTTACAGTCATTCATGCATTTTGTGGCGTTGCCTCAGATGTTGAACTAGATTTGTTGCGCCAAGTTCACACGTACTCCGTCTGCAGTGCGTATACAGTATGTGTATGCGGTGCAGAAGCAGCACGGACTCATTTTGCTTTCGCACAGGACACGTTTGTAGTCCGCTCCTGATCCGCGGCTGTTTACCACAAACACAACATTTATCCATTATTTTGATTTCAAATCCAAACGTTGTTTCTGAAAATGCTTTTTAAGCATTGTGATTCTCTTTTATCACAGTACAGTAAAAATACACAATATTTCATAGACATATTCACATTTAAACTCAATAAATATAACTTTAACTACCACCACGAGTGCCATCTATTATTGCCTTGTTTATCTAAAAGTGCACTTTTCCTTGTTTTAAATCTAGCCAAAAAGCCATGTGTTGACTGTGAAACAGTAGACTTTAATTATATGCATTTATGGTGTAATTACTAAATTTCCGTGTCAATCCATGTTAATTTTTACCGCGAATAATGCGCTGTCACTTTAATTCAGCGCGTGCAGCACAGCAGAAATAGACTCCGTGCGGAAACGATCGCAGCACTGCTGCAGACGCACCGCTCCTGGAGCGCACTGCCGGACCGCAATCGCATGCGAACGTATAAAAATAGTGAATATTCGGTATTGCTCAGCTCTATTGGCCTGGCATTTTGCTCTTGATTCTTGAAGCTAGAGATTTTTATTGTAATATCCAAAAAATATCCCCATCATGGTTTAATTGAATTAATAGTTTCCCAAATGAGGGAATTGCTAGTAAAAAGCTAATAAAAAGGTAAAATTCGAATAAATGCATTGGGCTGCACATTTAATGGAAATAAAGCTGATCAGTGCCGTGAGCTACTTCACAGGAACTCCATCTCTGCATGCAGTGAATTTGAAGGAATGCAGCACCAGCAGGATCACTTTTTCATGTTAACTTAATTTTCAGCATTTTGTGGACAAACGCTTGCAGCAAGAAGCGCTTAGAAAGTTTTCCACTAAACAGGTCTCCCTGCAGTTTACTGCCAAAATAAAAGCTTGATGGTTTAATGTTTGAAAGTGAAGAATGAAGACATAAATATTAGTATTGTAACTTAATAATAAAACATTTACTAAAATTAAATACTTTACTGTTTACTTGCATGTTGTGACCGTTAACTGACATCAGAGAATCGTGAACGTGAATGAAGTATTAATCTCACGGGGACTTGGAAGAAAATAGTTCACGTAAAAGGTGTTTGACTGATCTCTGTTTTAACTCCTTGTAAACATGTTTGCTCAGAGCGGAGGGAAGATGTCCAGTCTGTGGTCAGTCCTCGGCAGCCTGTGAAACCAAACGCCGCTACAGATGAAGAAGAAGAAACTACAGTGGACAAAACCAACCCGCCACCTCCAACAGCAGATGATGAACACTCAACACCGCAGTATGTGTGATTACTATTGGGTTTGTTTATTGCATTTCAAATAGGGCTGTTGTTTTGACTCCTAAGTTTAAGATTAATTATGGAAAAAAAATTTGTTTAGACATTTAATGCAGCGCCTCTCCATCATCTTACATTGATGCAGTAGCTGACGAACACGATGCAGGACAATGGACTGCGTGATGAAGCCTATTAGAATGCAGTTTTATGAGTCTAAAATTCAAGATACGAGTGCAAAAAATGACCCTGTTATATTTATATCATATGATATAGTTTAGCAATATCACATCAGCGAGAGTGCAGTTTTTCCTCAATATCTGCACCAGTGCAAATGTGATGTTGATTTATACAACAGTTCTATAAATATTGGGTTACATTTTAAGCTCAATAATTGTCTGTTTCAATTTTGTCAACAAAAATAGTTCTAATCAAAGCCACATCAGGGGCCCGTTCTTCGTACGTCGCTTATTACATCCGTGCATCTCCTGCGCTCCATCAAGCCACTCCCATAATAGCTGTCATCACTCAAATTAATGCACGACTCTACATTATCTGTATAGCATGTGTGTAAGACTCGAATACAATTATGAAGTAATAATTTTATGACGAATAAATCTTTCAGTGAGTAAAACTGGCTGTGTCTATAGTATTAAAGACGACACAACATTATTCTATTATCTTTAAATTAATTTTTAAATGATTATTATTTAAAATTATTGTCCCTGGATTAGTAGGGTACTCTTGTAATAAAGTAGCGGTGGTAGAGGACAGGTTTTAAGTATCAATTCTGCTTAAAAAGATGCAATCTAATCCTGTTTACATGAAATAAGCCTGCTCCCGAGCAGGTTTAAGCTTACGGACCTGTTGCTATGACTGCAACTCCGGAATGAGCGTCGAAGAACCAAACAATCCAAGATCATGCCAAATCGTCAACAATCAAATCCAGCTAACTGAGTTAGCGACGTCCGAAGAACGGGCCCCAGAACTGTTGAGACTGAGCAACACACAGCGGTGATTCGTTACTGAATGAATCCATGGTTTTTGAACAAACATAGTGAGCGAATGATTCAGTGACTCATTCAGAGAGACACTCACTTTGTTTCTGGATGAATTGGTTGAGTGAATGATTCAATGACTCACCCATTAAGACAGTGTCAGTTAAATTTCAATTTTTCTAATTATTTAATTGAAAAAAAAAAATTCATAGTTTAATATTTAATTTCAAACAAAAAAAACATTGTCGTTATTTATGCAATGCTGAATAAAAAAAATTATTTCTAAAGCTACATGTTCAACGCTTATCTCATTTAACACAATGACTTTAAATGATCTGTTGGGGGGAATTTTCTTAGCCAAAATTGATGTGCAATTAATTAATCAACATCATGCAATAATTAGGTTAAAAATACGAATCACTTGACCGACCAAATTTCAATAGATTTTGAAATGATTTCACTTCTTTCCAGAAGCCAAAATCCAGCCCAGGCCCCAGAGGTGGTGTTGAGCCAGTTCCAGGGAGCTGAAGGCCTGCAGCGTCCGCCCATGACTCTAGACACCGCCGTCTGGAGCAAAGCCGTGGCTCTGGAGGACGTGCTGGAGGATCTGCCGCTGGATTGCACCATGCCTCAAACCCTGGTGCTGCCTAAAGACAAAGAAGACACGGCCAGCATCGGACAGTGGGGAGAGCAGCTGGTTCACTCCTTCCTCACGCACTGGAGAGAGAACGGCGGCCCCAGTCAAATCACCTGGTTCAACGAGAAAGGAGAGAGCGGCCGCGCATGCGACTTCAAGATGACCTTCACAAATAACGGGAGCACGCAAGAAGTCTTCGTGGAGGTGAAGACGACGGTCAGGCGAGATCGACACTTCATCCACATGTCTGCGAACGAGCTGGATTTGGCACTGAAGGAGAAGGAGCGATATCACATATATCGAGTGTACGGCGCTGGAGATGTGCAGCACGTTCGTCTCTGTCGCATCAAGAATCTCGCGCAGCATCTGCACTCCAAGTCTCTGGAATTGTTTTTATTCGTGTAGCCATCTTTAGTCTTATTGAAAATCTTGAGTTGTTTTAGAATAACATTTCTGACCTATGCTTAGATGTACAATTCTGCCTGTTTGCACTCGATTCTGTTCATCAAATTTATTATTTTTTTTAACTACTGACACTGTTTGTACTGATATGTGCGATTGCACAATTTTAGTGGCCAGTTAAACGTTTTAAAGAATCAACATTTTCTCTATTCGCATGTTTGGTCATGTATTCAAAGCACAGGTTTTGCATCGATTCCTTCATAAGCTCTACTGTAAAAGTATAACTTTACTCTTTGGATTGCCATAATCAGTTCAGTAAATAAAAGAAATGTTCTGAAAATGAAGAGATTTGGAATGGTTTCACTCTTAGATCTTTATGGACCCAACTAGCAGAGAATGTTCCTCCAAACATTCTTCCAGTAATTTTAGTAGAACGTTCATTTATAATGTTAGCACAAAAACATTCATGGAAAATTTTTCTGAAACATTTTAGTTTGTCTAACTTATTTAAACATGAATATTAATTTCAGATGGTTCAGAGAACATTCAAAAGTAACTATCAAGTTTGCAAAATGCTAAAATGAAACATTCCCTCATATATAACGTTCATACAACCAAGAAAAAAAAAATACTGGAAATTTTGAACCCTCTGCTTGTTCCAAACGTACGAGTTTCTTAAGATATTCTAAAGAATGTTGGTAACCAAACAGCTGGCGGTTGCCATTGACTTATAGAATGGAAAAAAATGCCATTGAAGTCAATGGCTGCCATCAGCTGTTTGATTTCCAACATTCTTCAAAATGACTTGTTTTGTGCTCAACAGGAGGAAGAAACTTTTACAGGTTTCTTGGGTGGTTCATTTATAATGTTAGCACAAAAACATTCATGGAAAATTTTTCTGAAACATTTTAGTTTGTCTAACTTATTTAAACATGAATATTAATTTCAGATGGTTCAGAGAACATTCAAAAGTAACTATCAAGTTTGCAAAATGCTAAAATGAAACATTCCCTCATATATAACGTTCATACAACCAAGAAAAAAAAAATACTGGAAATTTTGAACCCTCTGCTTGTTCCAAACATACGAGTTTCTTAAGATATTCTAAAGAATGTTGGTAACCAAACAGCTGGCGGTTGCCATTGACTTATAGAATGGAAAAAAAATGCCATTGAAGTCAATGGCTGCCATCAGCTGTTTGATTTCCAACATTCTTCAAAATGACTTGTTTTGTGCTCAACAGGAGGAAGAAACTTTTACAGGTTTCTTGGGTGAGCTGTCCCTTTAATTAAAGATCATGCTGCTGGATCTGATTGTTTTCACATCATGTCATAAGAGGTTGTCATTAAGGAACTGATGTAATGTCGGAAATAGTGATTTCAGTCTCTTTGAAGGAATGTTCCAGGTTCAAAACAAGTCCAGCTCTGTGACTGGCATCTGTGGTGTACTATTGATTACTGTAAAACGTCCCAGCAAACAACACATTCCCCTAACATTAACATATGGTTCCTAATTGGTCCTTTCTTTCTTTTATTTTATTTATTTATTTTTTAATAAAATAACATTATAGAACCAAAAACTATCTTTGCTAGAACGGTGCTGGAATATTTTTTGCGACAACCTAAAGAGAACCTATACAGAACGTTCTCTAATGGTTATTTTTAGGTTTTACTTTATAACCAAAAACCAAGAACGTTCTGGAAACGAAACTGACTGGCCTTTAGTTTGTATTTTTTTAAAAATCAATAAATTAAATTTGTATATTTTTTCTCTGGCACTTAACATTAAAATACATGTAGCTCTAAACGTACAGCCTTAAAGATAAAGCTAAAAAAAAAAAAAAAGCTAAGGCTAATAAAGCTAAGCTTTTAAAAATAAAAAGACATTTATACTAATAAAATGCATTTAAAATATAAAGCCTCAGCGAGGGAGCGACTCGTGCTGCTATTGGCTGACGCTCGCAGTGGGTGGAGTGTAATCAGGTGACGCGAGGGAGTGACCTGCGCTGTTACTGGCTGATGCTCGCAGTGGGCGGGGTTTCATCAGCCCGTCTGTCTCACAACAGTGCGTCGCAGGCGGTGAGATCCGCGCCGGGTGAGTTAAGATCTTATACAGTCTATGGTTAAGATGCGGCGGAGCGACTGATTCTCAGCAGCACCGAGACACAGATGCGGGGAAGAGAGAGACTCTCACTGCGGTATTTCTGCCTCGAAACAGAAGAACTGCGGCTCTGGACGGATTTCATGGTGAGTGCATTCCGCTTGATTGCCAACATTATTATAATATTGCAGCAACTGATATATTTTGACGTGGAATTGATGCATAATGCTCGATAAAAATGGACTGTCCTGCTCAAGACTGAAGGATTTATGTTATAATAACCTGAGGCTACCGCTACCAGACGACCTTAATCAGCACTGCAGAATAATGCCCTTATGCTGCTTTTAAAATAATAATTTATTAATACAAATTGAATCATGAACAGGAGCATTAATAATAAAATTGATAATAATAAAATTATTATTGTTGTTTTTCTTATTATTATTCGCTTAATACAGCGAATTGGATTAATAATAATAATAATTATTATTATATAATGATTAATAAATTGTTATTCGGCTAAAAAATAATACAAATCTTATCATATATATATATATATATGTGTGTGTGTGTATGTTTATTTTATATGCATTGGACCTATGGATACATTTCCTTTTGCCCTGTTCACCATGTAAACGTATTCCCCTTTTAAGAAGTGTGTGTGTGTGTGTGGCTGCAGACTGCAGGCAGCACTGTGTGTGTGTGTGTGTGTGTGTGTGGCTGCAGACTGCAGGCAGCACTGTGTGTGTGTGTGTGTGTGTGTGTGGCTGCAGACTGCAGGCAGCACTGTGTGTGTGTGTGTGTGTGTGTGTGGCTGCAGACTGCAGGCAGCACTGTGTGTGTGTGTGTGTGTGTGTGTGGCTGCAGACTGCAGACAGCACTGTGTGTGTGTGTGTGTGTGTGTGTG